CAATTAAAAAAAGAAGTGATTTTCTTCTATTCTCACATTCTTTTTTTAATGAATAGGCCAAATTATTTTCTTTAAGTAAAGAAAACTCGTTACTGAATTCTTCGCTTTTGCCCACAAGATATCATGCCGTCGTCTGTAAATCCGATCAGATTATATACGTTTTCTATGTTACTTTAACTAATTTGATTTCTTTTTATATCACATTTTCTCTTAATAAACGGACTCAAGTATAGGAATGATGTTTAAAGCTCTATGCATTTAAAAGTGTGAGTTTGCATTAGGTGAAACGAATTATTATGTATAGGGGAAAAGGAAAAGCTACGCATAATTGTTCGTTCAGGCCTAAAACGTACGTGCACTGAATTTGTAATAAATATTTGCTTTCGCATCTCGACTATTTTCTTCAACATGTGAACCTTCTTTTTTAAAAGCAGAAGAAGGTCTACAAGCGTTATCCAACAACAAATGAAAAATAAAATACAGCCGGGGATCGAACCCGAATCCGTACCGTGGCGAGGTACTATTATTCCACTAAACCACTGGTGCTTGTTTGTTCTTACTTCCCATTTTAATAGATTAAAAATAAAAACTACTTTAATTCTCCTTGAGTTTTGTTTCTGGATTTTGTGAATTTGGTCTTTTGTACAAAGTGGAAAATTTTGCAGAGATGGAGAAAGTGGTTGATCTCTTCGGAGTTGGAGAAGCTAATTCCCAGAAGCTACTCGAAGGAGGCAACGATCTCAGCGAGATCCAACAGGTTTCTTTCTCTTCTCTATTCTTCTGATTTTACGAAATTAGATTTTGATATCTGATAAAAGTTTTCGATTTTTGTTGTTAGGGATTGTTCATAGGTTCAGTAGCTGAAGCGAATAACAAGGAATTGCTCAAAAGCTCCAATGTCACTCATGTTTTAACTGTAGCTGTTGCTTTGGCTCCTCCTTACCCTGATGATTTCGTCTATAAAGTCATCGAAGGTGTTTTGTTTGTTTCGGATCAAAGATCCTGTTTTTTTCTTATTTGAGGTTGGTTTCTGTTTGAGTAAATTTTGAACCTTTGTTTCGTATGTTTGTGGTTTTTGAGGTAGTCGTTGATAGATCCGAGACCGATTTGAGTGTATATTTCGATGAGTGTTTTAGCTTCATCGACCAAGCTATTCAATCTGGAGGTGGTGTTTTGGTTCATTGCTTCATGGGAATGTCTAGGAGGTTTGATTCTTTTCCCTAAATCTTTGTCATTCCACTTTAAATTTGATCGATTTCGTATTTGATTTACTGTGAGAGGAATCAATATGAACCAATTGCAACTATATGTAGAGGAAAACGTTTGCAGATTTCTACTTAGACTTGGTTTGGCAAAAGGTTGTGTCCTGTGTGATATGAATCTTGTAGTATGTTTTTATACTTTGGATACTGATTATGGCTATGATCAGATTGTTACGTATTATGTGGACAAGTTGAGAGTATTCTCGAGCTATGTAATTTGGTAACTGTTGTCGTGTCTAAACCGAAGCAGAGAATTGAGCTCTCTGTTTGTTATTTATACTTGACACAATTTGAATTCCGTTTTGAAGTGTGACTATAGTGGTGGCTTATCTGACGAAAAAGCATGGAATGGGTTTCTCTAAAGCTATGGAGCTTGTAAAGAGCCGACGACCTCAAGCATTGCCGAATTTCGGTTTCATTTCTCAGCTGAAGCAATTTGAAAAATCCATCAAAGGTATGATTGTTTCTTTTCCTACTCTGTACGCAGAGAATCCTCATTCCTAGACTCTGTTAGCTATGATGGTATGTGGGTAATAACTCGATGACACATTATATTTGAACTCGGGAAAGAAAAGACTCGGTTTTCATTCATGAGTATCAAACAACGCTGATCCAAAGGCTGAAATATCAGCATCTGTTTGCAAGAGACCGTAGATTTTCCTTAGTTATAATCCAACACTTATTGATACAATCTATATACTTTCTTTTCTGTTGTTACACAGTACATGGTGAGGAGGATTCAGCTGATAAGAAGATAGACTCATGAACTCTCGAGAGATACCGAAGAAGTCTCATGAGCCCCATTGATGACCTTATTGGTTTCGTGCTGTTAAGGATCTTTCTTGTGAACAATTGATGGTGCGCTATTTGCCATGTCCATTACTACTATTGAAATAAATGAAAACGCAGCATTTACATTTTCTCTCTGTTACTACAATGAAGTCCAATTAACCAAAACCGGTTTGGTTTGGTTTTTAACCTTTACAATATTGTTGTATGTAAACGCCATTAGTTTGTCATAATACATTTTTTGTTACTTGTAAAGAGCCCGATATCTTTGATCGAGCGTGAGCGATCTTATTGGAAATTGATTTTTTCGTTTCTTCTTATTGGATCAGTATTATATAGCATGATAGACCATGAAAAAATTGAATAGCGATGTTGGAGTTAAATTTCTACTCGTAAAATTAATATTTTAATTAAATGAGGCATGCACCTTGCATGTCTTATACATATTATAGCATAACTAACATTGGCGGCTAGACACACATATTTGTCACCAACATTTTCTTTCCAGATTCCACATTTTTGGGACTTAATTAGGAGATAAACAAATTATCTTCGCATTTTAATTTAACAATGAGCAAATTGTGTCGTGATTGATTTGTTACATATAGCAAAATGCTGGCACTATTATAAGTCTATAACAAAGCTTTTTTTTTGTGGATTTTGGAACATGAATTTTAATGAGAATTATAGATCAAAAAATTAAGGATACTAGTTTTTGGGAGGAATCTTAATGAGCCGAACAAGTAGTTGAGACTCATGAAGAAGCTTGAACAACTGAAGTTTCCTCCAAAGTCTTCTCGACATTCTTGTAGAGTCCTCTTTCATGCAAAAAGTGATCCATAATAAAACAATAGCATGCGATTCCGTTTGGTAACACAACGCATAATGATCGATGGAATCATATGGCGAATAAAATAATTGTGGGATGGAATGAAGAATGATTAAGCAACGATGATGTAATTTTCTAGATACATTACGTAATAGTTAAATTCTTTTTTGTTATTAAGGGGAAGATAGATCACACATAATTTCTTCTAAATTGTCTTAACTTGAGCATTTATTAGTTTAACTTGTTTACATTCATCCGTAAAATACATCTCAACACAAAATCATACTATTAATTTTCCATCAGGGATATATATTACACAAACAAAATTTGTATGTCCGCGCGATTCCATTTTAAAGAAGAAAACAAAATCAAATATGTTTTTTTTTTTTTTAATGAAACGCGGTAACTAAGAAGAGGCACAAGGGTAGAAATTAACTAGAAGTAAAAGAAGGTGGTGCAAAGGCATGCATGCACTT